AAGCGAGCACGTGGCCGGAACGCCGACATACACCTGCGCACAATTTACCAGAACGTTTGGACGCCGAATTAGTCTTTTTGGTTATCTGTATCCATAACATTCCCATTAACTACGACTTCACTACATCTGCTACATTAGCAAATTGTTCCACCTTCAACATGAAAAAATATCTGCCCATACCAACTCAGTAGCCGTAATATCAAATTTTCCAAATTCTTCAGGTACATTTGAACCAAGCATCGGTCTGGTCAGTCAATTAAAAACCCATCACGCCGCAACCAGAGACTAAAAGCCTCCAGCATAAAGCTGTCGCTTCAGTCTCACCACGCCACACTGTTCCATCTCACACAGTCACCGCTGTATGCGCCCCATGTAAACCTTCGGTAAAATATCGTAGCCCAGCCTCCCGGCAACACACATCGTTATACCTGCCTACCCTCAGGCTATTTAGAAACCCAATCAATAAAATGCATGCACAAGCCCAACTATTTTGCTGGAAACGTTTGACCCGCCTTGCCACTGATAAGATTACGGGCGAAAGGTCACATAATAGGACATGCACATCTCATGTAAGTGGAACGCGTGTCCTTCGCTACACGCGAAGCGCGGATGAGTGACACATGCCAACAAGTCGTGGCTTTGAATGCTGCCAACTGAGGAAATAACTCAGTTCATCGCGGGCCTGGATACCAGGTGGCAATGGCTTCCACTTTATTACGACCTCTGTGGTACTTCCAACGCACAGTATAGAAGCCTAGCTCATAGATGGAATCAGGTCGTATGCAACACATGTGAAAGGGTAATCTACCTTTGTCGGATACTACGTGCGCGTCCACCTTAGTATGTCCTCATAGTTTTGTAATTAGAGCAAGTTGGGTGCGGCACAGGTTAGCCTCGCTACAAGCAAATTTACACGCAGACCAGCCCAGCGAACCAATATATGCGGAGTCCTCCTCCCTAAACCTTCATCGTCCCTCTTTCTTGTTCACCGCCTCCTACTGCGGTGACATCTTCACAAACCCTCTTGTGGCAACACACACTCAAGCCCCTCTCTGCCCCTCTAATCAAAATCATGCGCAGTGGCGCAATTTTCACTTCTCGTGTCAGTTAGTTACTTTTCTCTTTATTTTAACAGTACCACAACGAGCCTGGTTGTTGTTGAAATAGACGTCTACGTCACGAGAAGGTAAACACCACCATGACAAGGAATGCAAGGGATGTTATTCCCTAGTCAACTAATAACATGCCGTCGGTCAGGTCTTATAAACCTTACTTCGTCCACGACCATGCGCGTACGAAAGCTGAAGTTAATACACTGATTATCTCAGTGGTTGCGCAGTATCCCTATTTGCAGCAAGAACCCGAGACTCGTATGTTCGCTGTTATTCATGAAAACTTCACCGTATACTTTCCATTAACTAGTAAGCACCTCGTCAAACTCGCTGATCGGTAATGAATTTTACATTCAATAAGGTCACTTGTGAATGCCATGGTTGAGACACTAAGGCTTGCAAATACGTTTAAAAAAGCATTATGAGTTTTGCAATTTTTTATAGCTAGTTTTGAAAATGTAAAACTATTTAAAAAATAAACAAAATAGATCATTGTGCTTGTTGTTGGGCATTGGGATTGGTCATTGCTCCTAAAGTCTTGGTTGTGTGCATATAGCACTCCATAAACTTAGCGGAGCACCTGTCTAAGCAAACCGCTTCACCCTTTGTCAATTCACCATCCTGATAACGTGGAGGAATACATTTTTGCAGGCACGCTGTTGTCATGCTGGCGAAGACCTTCTGCATCATTTCTATCTCAAACATCTGCATTTGCCTTTCAAGAGATTTTTCCGCCATGTTTCCTTAACAGGAGTATCCAGTGAAGACCGTCTGCGATTTGGATATTGTTTCACCAGCAAAAGACGTCGACGAAGATACTAACAAAAATATATGCTAGTCAGTTTAACTACTACCTTATCAAGTTAGTGTCAGAAGAAATACAAAATTAGGCCGAAAATGCTAATGGCCAAAAAGCGGCGAATGAACCACGGCAAAGTGCCTTGCGGAGAATCAGGTCTCGCGCGCTGAATATTAACAATTTAAAAGTGTACTGGTAATGTTTCATGAATTTCAAGACCAATAAACTATTGACCTTTACTCAAAATACCAAGGATGGAGAAGATTACACCATGCTGCTGCCAGGCCCATCTGTGCAAATTTATTTGGTTAAAAATTCGGGAAGAATTTCTGAGGTCTCAGTGGAACTCCATCGAAAGCTATCCGTCCCAGCACCGAGCTCGTTATGCGAAACGCTCGTCTTGCAAAACAGGTCACCGACTGGCTGCAAGAAACTAAGGATCCACGCCCTAGTAGCAAGAATAAACGACGGACACAAACACATACGCGCACACATACTAGCAAATAGTTTACTGAATGGAAACTCGTCAACCGAAACAATTTTTCTGCGAGTAGCTAGCTCGTTACTTTAAATTTATGTAGATGGATCTACTCTTCACACGAGGTTCTACTTTATAAGTAAATAAATAAATCGTTGTATTATCATCACTCAGATAGACACTCCACATATATTTACATTATCGTCGTCAGAGTCGTTGTTTGTAGCGGGTTTTCAACCCCACTCGTCCTAACTTCATTGCTATATGTTCACAAATTTTCTCCACTTTTTAATCCTGACAACTATATTTGCGGTCTCTGGTGATGATCGTGGCGGTTTCATATGTTTTTTTGCCAGCTTGTCCGTAGATTCTGCAGTCCGTAAGGTCGCAGCTCCGGCATTTCTATGATGATCTCTACCGTCCCTTCATCGTTTCAACCCTGCTGTCGTGATGACCTCCAACTGTTTTAACTCCCTGATGGTTGATCCTGTAGCCAGACAGACGGTTTTGCGGCGGGGAACCGTATTCTTTGCTGCTATACGATTTCTCAAACGACAAGACGCGTTTGGATTCCCGATACGCTCCCATCAACAACCACGGTCCTATCTCATTGTATCAACCAACCTCGTAATTTCAATAGAAGCAGGTTTTTCTCCTACATTTTATTTCTGTAAAATGGGGGTGTTTTAATATGAAGAGTAAATGAGAGGTTAGATTCCTGAGTAACATCAAGGTACCGGAAACGGGATATTTCATTGGGCAGAATGTCAATGGTTGATGAGGTGAAACCAGACATTATGGCTTTCACTTAAACCTGGTTTTCAAAAGATATCGCTGATTCCAAATTATCGCTTAGAGGATATCAGCTTTTCAGGAAAGACAGAACAACAAGGGGAAGAGGACTTATAGTCTATGTCAATTGCAAGCTGATAGCCATGGCTGAAGTACCGGTTCCAGCACGAGATGTGGAAATGCTAAACATTACCATATCTTTTAAGTATGCCAGGCCACTGGCGCTTTCGGTGATTTACCGCCCGCCGAATCAGACTCCTGACCAAGACACTAATCTCATAGCAGAATTGTATAAGGTCAGTGAGAAAGAAGACATCCTTATCGTTGGGGACATAAAGGCTCCTGGTGTTGATTTGCAGACATGCACTGCACGGGATCTTCCAGACAAATTCAATCATAAACTACTACAATGGGCCACAGACAAACTGCGATGCCAGATCATCACGTTTGGAACACGGGCTGGGGAAGGACAACAGTCGAACTGTCTTGACCTTATCTTTACCCGAG